TTATATATTATATAAATATATGTTATATAAAGAAACATATCAATTCAAGTTAATCAAAATTAATTTAATAATTTTTAAAATATAAAAATTATATTATAATTTTTTTTTAAGATTTTATATTTTAAAACTGCTTTATATTTTTAACTTTATTAAAAATATTTTTTTTAATATATACAACAAATTTTTATTTATTTATTTTCAAATTTTTCAAGGACTACAAAAGTTCTTGACAATAATTCTATACTCACATGTAATATATAACATCTAAACTCATAATTTAAAAGAATTGTCACAAGTTGATGTAGTTCTTACTAATTTCTTGTTTTGTATAAATATATTAAATATAAATATTAAATATTTTTTTAATTTATCTACTATGTTTCTAATTTTTTTAGGTGTGATGTACTTTACTTTTAATTATTAGTAAATTCATCATCATTAAATTTTATATAAAATCTATAGTAAAATACTTATCAATTTATTAAAATTCATTTTAATTCATATTTATTAGTATATATTAATTCAATAAATTATTATAAAATGCAATATTTTCAATAACTAATTATTATAAATAAAAAAAAGCTAATAAATATAGCTAACAAAAAAAATTTATTTTGAAAAAAAAACATTAAGGGCCAATAGCCCATTTTTGCACCCATGTGGCTTTGCCACTGTACCAATGGCAGGGTTCTAACCTATCAACCATCACAAAGTTCTTCAATTGTAATTGAGCGTGAGAAAAATTCTTTATCTGATGGTTTTCCAGAACAATCTGTTATGGGTGTTGGATGGTCTTTCAAAGCTTCGACATTCTGTCGCACAAAGGAGACTAAAGCTTCAGAAGGAAAAGCTCAAGATGAAGCTAGACTTTGTTCTTCACTCTCAAGTCAGTAACAAATATTTTTGCATAGTGAATTAATAATGCCGGTATAGCAATCTCAATTATAATGTAATGTCATGATAGAGCAGACATGTTCATACACTCGTTTCGGATAACTTGTGCAGATCAAATTGTTGGAAGCTTGGGGAGACATGGAAAGGCAGCACTTATCTTCAGTTTCAAAGACTAAAGAGTGTCTACATTCTGTTGTTTGCAGAGTTCCCCTCATTGAAGGTGCAGAGGTAATCCCAGAGAAGAAGGGGCAAAAGGAAATAATGTTAAAACTATTTTGTGGCTAAGCATCAATTAATTTTACTAACGAATGCTAAATTATAGGTTGATCCACAATCAGCTTCCATCGCACTCCGACATGCATCAGATCTCTCAGCGTCCATCAAGTCAGCATTATCTTCATTTTCACCCTCAGTAAGCAGAAACTACTAAACCTATCACACTACGTCGGCGCTTGATGCCTCCTGTTTATGTCATCCGAACTAACCTTGGAATTCTTCCTTATCAGGCTGAGCAGACTGTTACACTTCTCTCACAATTAGCAGAGGTGGTTGCACAAGAGAAACTACTAATGGAAGAATGCCAAGAACTTCTTCAGACAGTATCTGCACTACAGGTTGAAAGCTGAACGCTATCATTATGATCCCAGTAAATGTGAAAAACTTTATGGCTCACTTGTCATTCATGGAGTCTTGACTGGAAGTTCTTGACACTAACTTTTTTGGATCATGTTCACAGATTCAAGAGAAAAGTTTGAAGTGCTATATAATCCAGTTCAATTCGAAGCAAAAACAACTGCAGCAGCAAGAACAACAATCACAGCTACAAGAAACCCCTTCTTAGGCAGAAATACAGGGAATTGAAGGAGAAATTTCTGTAGGTGACTAAAAGGGGAGACTGTGATTGAATAGGGCATGATAAAATGTAATGTGGATGTGATTGTAAGCACTTCAACTAGCTTCAAGCAAAAGTTAAACTGTCAACTTACTGTTTCTTTTTACCTTGACATCAAAGGTTGAGCTATTTTTCACCTGCTACTAATTTTTTGTGCTAGTAAGAATCAAAATTGCTATTCAATTATTATGCCTTGCTGTTTCCAAATATTGCTAAAATGCAGGCAAACTTCAAATTTAGTTTCAACAGAGTGAATATTATCCAGTATCATCAACTTTCACTCACTAGAGTGGATCATTAAAATTGATTTATGCAATGAATCTACTTGAAAACTTGAGGTATCTGGATATATTTCAAACCAGAAGCGAATTATTCCTCATGCCACCTTAACCACTTAAGTGGTTTTGTCTTTGAGTTTGTCCCTTTTTTATATCCTACAGAAAAGCTAGTTTGAAGATCTCCAAACAGTAAAGAAAAAATACCGGGATTTTAGTGTTTTCCCTGACCTTTATGCATAGTTGGGAACCCCGAAGGTGTTGGCAGGGATAAAGCTCAGGGTGGGGAGGGTCAACTCTTGAAAAACAGTTAAAGAATTAAATCAATGTTGTTTTTATAAAAAAAAACTTTTTTAAAAAATAATGAGTTAAAAGGGTAAATGACATCTAATCGAGTTTATAAAAACTTAAAATATGAACATCCGGATGAAGATTAGATATAACTGAATAGATATTTGATTCAAGTAAATTATATGAATTATTTGTTATATATCTTTATGAAACAGTGGAACATGATTAAGCTTAAGAGGAGAGTTAGCAACATTAAACTTGATTAATATTTTAAAACTTTAAAATTAAAATAATAGAAAATTTAATTGTTAAATCAAGTTAAAACTTTTTTTAGATAATTTTATATGCGGTTTTCTTATAAAAAATTACTTGGTCGCTTATCAGACCATTAGATATCCTGAAACTAAGTTTAAAAGTTATTATTTTAGTCAATTTTATTATATTTTTTAGATATTTTTAGATTTATTGTTTTTTTATTATAATTTAATTTTTTAATTTTTTCAGACTTAAAATTATTTCATGGTGGAGAGAGGTTTTTTTTTTAAAAAAAAATTAAAGGTATTATAAACTTTTTATGAATCAATCACTATCAAAGTTATCAATTTTGTTCTGTTTTGTTTGGAATGAATGAAATATTTCATATCAATTCAGAAAATAGAACAAAACAGAATAAATTTTATCTTATTTTAAATCTTGATTCATTTTGAATTTTTCAACTAAATTTCTTTTGAAATATTCCGGTTTCATTTCACATGTTCTGTTTCGCTCTTAAAAAGCTATTGAATCCAATTGAATCTTTTTCAATTTAATAAATTAAATCGCTCAATTATATAAAAAAAAAATTTTATTATTATTTTCAATAACAATGATATTAATTTTTTAAAATTAGATTTATCACTAATATATATGGTTTATATTCATGTTGTTTTTTTCATGTTTATACTTTGTAGGAATTTGAGCAAATAAGAGATGTTTTAAATTCTATTAACTTTGATAACATTGACCTAACTGTATATTTAAAATATTTGTTTTAAAACATTTTACTTTCATAATATTTTGATATTTTGTTTAAGTTAAAGATTTATTTAATCTTGATTATTTTAAAATATTTTAAATTTTAAAATTATATTTGTTTGACATTGTATTTATATTGCATAATTTATAATTAATTTATCCTGAACTTGAATTATATTTGTTAAATACATACATATATATATATATATATATATATATATATGAACAATATAATTTCGAGATGGCATGCTGCAACACTTTAAAATTGAAATATTCTATTCCAATTGAAAAAATAAAATACGTATCAAAATAGAATTGACAATCTTAATCATCACATATTTATTTTTTAAAGAATAAAATTTAAAATTTATATCTGTAATTTTTTTCACCCATTAAAAATTTATGTGTTGTTTGTGTTTTCTCTGATGTAGCTATTTTATTAGCTTTTATGAGCGTCAATCAAGTTTTTTACTGGATTAATTGATTTTTATTTTTTTTTCAACTTGATGCCTGTAAACAACGAGCCTTTTCCCTAAAACCAACACCCAAGTCGTTCCTGGATAACATATTCTTTCCCCTAAATAGAACGGCATGTAGTTTTAATATCCAATCAACAAGCCTTTCTCCCAAAACCAACCGACAAGTCGTTAGATCCCAC